ACCTGCGAACCCGACCGCTTCCTAGTCTGCCCGCCTGTGCCTACCGAGTTCCAATTCGTAAGGTCAAGAGATCCCAAAAATAATAAACGTTTTGCCGTAAGCCGTCACTAACCGGCGACGCGGCATAACAAGTGTAAGAACTCGTTCGGTCCGCGTTCAAGCCGTAAGAATTTTTTTTTCGTATTATTTATAGTGCAAACTTACCTCTCATATTTCAAAGTGAATAATATTTGACATCACCCTCGTGAAATATTATTACATTGTTTACAACCTGTAAGAACAATTTTGTCCCGTTTGCCAGGTGTAAGAAACGTTTTTTCATAAATTATTTATTAAAAACTAACTAGCAAATAAGTTTCAAGGTGAATACAATTTGACACACCTCTGCTTTATTTTTTTACAGTTGTCCCACCCTCCAGGTGTAAGAAATGACTTTTCAATATTAGAAGGATGTACTCTATCGAATATATAGGGTTTCCCGATGAATAAGATTTGACACTTTGAAAAAATAAAAAAAATCAGCACATTGATCTTAATAAAAAAAATTAAGTAATTTCTTTAAATCGACCGTGACTGGCAATAAATAACGTCTGTGCGTGAGCAGAAAGAAGATCGAGTTAGAGGCATGGGAACGGGGCTTATTATTAACGTTAGCTTGTATGTCTATTTACAAAATGTATTGACTCAGAATATGATATTTACACGGAGTTTAGGAATCCACGAAACGCGATTCTGATTACTCGAAAGTCGGCGCTTATTCCGCGAGCTACGGTTCTCGTCGCACGATCTGTTCCGCGAGCTACGAATCGAGCCGTCGTCGAGACTCCACGCAAGAGGCAATTCGCTTTTCGAAAAAGACATGCTCGTTATGTCTCCAAAAGCGTATCTGCTCGAGCCTCCGGCGCACTCGGAGGTACGAGCTCCCCATCCCCACGCGTCACGCATCCCCGGTAATGGGCCGAACAATTAGTCGAGCCAATCGGTAGCCGACCCGTTGACTTGTCTTTCGATTTGAACTCCTCGAATTTCGGAGTCGGCAACCGATCAGCTGCTCTCGCCGTGGTCAGGTGCTCCGTCTCCAATGTTTACGTCGCGCAATGAGACAAAGGGGATAGAGCAAGCACGCGAGGAAAAACAAGCGTTCGTTTCTCGGCTTCTCGAAGGTTCTTGGAATAACGGCGGTTGTTCCCGAAACAATGCTGAGCTTAAGCGAGAATTCTCCTCGCGATTATTTACGGAGGATTACGGTTCGATCACGAACAACGTCTTTTCGATATGAACATTGAAAAGAATTACAGAGATAACAGTACAAAATAAAAATATTTTATTAAAATATTTAATTCAACGAGGGAATACAATTTGTATTTAAATACAAAGTTTATATATGTATTTTTCAATAGAATAAAAGATTTAATCACAAAGAATTACAAAGGTAACAGTACAAAATAAAAATATTTTATTAAAATACATAAATTTTTCTTGTAAAAAAACTTGGCGCTGCTAAACCTCAAAATTTTAAATAAATAAATAAACTTATCCTATTACTTAATTATAAGCCGCATCATCCGCCGTCCGCGTCGTCACGCACACTCATATCACTCACTCGCATATCAACGCTGATAATCATTTAATATTACTCCCATCGCATTCTTTTCTGAATTATTTTTATTTATTGTTGTCTTTATTTATTTTCAGTTTCCAGACCTGTATTCACGACCGTGCTGCCGGGGCACGAAGCTCTCGGGGCACGCGCTCCGCCTAACCGAGTAAGTAAGGAAACGATGAAAGATTTTCTGGTTTGGTTACGTAATTTGATTACCACACGTCCACAGTGTAGATTCTGAATTATAGTGTGAGGAGGAAGGGTTGAAACCTCGGTTGAAACGCAATTTACTTAGGTAATAATTAAAAGACATATGTAACGAAAAAAATAAATATTTTATTCAAACAGAATAAAATTAGGTAACGTTTTTTGTAATTACTAAAATACATATTTAATAACATTTAATAATTTTTAATAAAATGTATACTTGAATAAAATAACAATTTAAATATAAACTTTATTGCATATATGTTTTTTTTTTTTTTTTTTATTATTTTTTTTTTTTTCTAAATTAAGGTGCCTTAAGGTGGTTCGATGGCTACAACAAAATGCAGAGAATTTCATGAAATTTTAATATGTTGTTCTGCAATGCAAAATAGAATTATGTGAATTTTTTGGGAATTTTTCACCGTCCCGTTTTGAAAATAATCTACTCCAAAAACCTAAAAAGTACAATTTTAGGAGTAGATTTATTTCAAAACGGGACGGTGAAAAATTTCCAAAAAATTCACATAATTCTATTTTGCATTCCAGAACAACATATTAAAATTGCATGAAACTGGCTGCATTTTTAACATAGGTTCTTATGGTTTTTATGGGAAATGACATATTGCATATACCTTCAGAATGAAATAAGTGCAAGAAGAAATGCAAATGATAAAGAAAAAGAAATTTGCACATGTAACTTAATAATTTACAAATAAATGAGCGAAAGAAAGGGGAAGGTTACCGCACATTTCGTAGAAAAATTAATTATTAAAGCATAAATTGCTTGATTTTTCGTCTGCATAGACTGTCATGGTCGTGAACGACGTGAACAGCAGCACGCATTATACACGCGGCGACCAATCAGAGCAATCCCCTTCATTCCCACTACTTCAAACGCTAGTGCGCTGTTTCCAGAACCCCCGCGTCCCACTACTCCCTCCGATGAAGCCATCGAACCTCCTTAATCGAATGTATATTCTTGTTCAAACCGAACCAAGCATGCTAATACATTCCTTGGCGCAGAATTATTTATTTTTTTCGACACAAGGTCCGTCACTCTGTCGAAAATGAAAGGTTCAGGATCTACATTGTGGACGCGCGGTAATCAAATTACGTAACCAAACCAGCCATTATGCGCAATGCTTCATCTGTCTATTTACACCATGATGTGGGCTACGGTCAACGTGACGCTACAAATGCTTCGAAGCATTCCTTTTCTCTTTTCTTTCAATGAAGAAAGAAAGAGAAGAAGAACGCTCCAAAGCATTTGTAGCGTCACGTTGACCGTAGCCATAGTGGACGCATATAATCGGTTCGCGGCCAAATTCGGCTCAAGGTTCGACTCGATAATGTGGACGCGCCTTTTCCAGTTTCTCTACATTCTTTCTCAAGGTTTAAAAAGAGTAAATAAAAAAGAATTGAGGTAAAATAGGATACAGAGATATAGAATTAGAAGAAGAAAGGGCTGTAAAAAGACTATAAAAAGATATACGGGCGCGGTAAATTCATCAGTCGATTTTGAACCATCGTCCAATTTGCAGCCTGCGGCGAGCCACTGAACAAGCCGGAAAGAAGAGAAAAAGGAAGCGAGTTCAAATTCCTTTTGACGACGTGCGTTAGATCGATCTACGATTAACACAGTAAGTAGGGGCATTCCTTGCATTCGTTCTTGTGTCTCGTCTGCCAGTCTCGACAACGAGCGGATATAACCGTGAATAAATCGTCAAATGTGCAGTGGGTCTTTGTAAGGACGTGCGAATGCTCAAGCGACACGATACAGCATGTGAAAACTTTTTATTGAAGACCAGTAGGGGAGACCGGAGCGAAGGGCACGGGGCGGAATCGTATTTTCAATTATCTCGAAATCTGTATGTTGTGCGAACTCGCCATTAACAGTGTAAAGGCGGTTTATGGTGTCCACGTGTTTTTAAGTATAACTTCTTCCTGTTGTTATTATTATTTGATTTATTATTTCGTTACTATTTTAGGTCACATAAAATCATCGTCATATAAAATTCTATTTTTTTAAATGTATGATTTTTTTACACTGTAAGAAAGCTCTCTTTTGTTAAGAATTTTCTGATATTTCAAATTATATCATGATATTTTTAATATAAAATATGAAATATCTCATGAAGTATTCACTTTTCGATAACTTTACTTTCATATTTTTATACACAGAATGGTGAAAGAAATCGAATAATAATATTAATTTTTATATTTGCAATTTGGAAATTAAATGCGTCTACAAAATGCAATCAAAGTCTTTAAAATAATTTTTTCTGTTTTCTTTTTACAACAATCGATTCCTTTCATTATTCTATGTATAAAAGTATTAAGGTAAAGTCAATCGAAAAGTCAATACGTTACAAAATATTTCATCTATATATAAATAAAACAAAGTCGGGTTAGTTACACCATTTATAACTCAAGAGAGAACGGTTGGACCGAATTTATATTAGAACCATATAAAATAGAAGTAGAATTTTCCGGCGAGTGCTGTAGAGTGTATAGTTTTTCGTTTTTCGTACCGGGGCGAATTTTTAGGCGATTCTGGAATTTCTCCATCAGCAATTGTACGAAAAACAGCAGCAACTTCATTAGTATTTGATAAGATTGAGCAAATATATTTAATTCCCTCATTACATGTTCAAGATTTTGTATGATTTCAAAATCTAAATCTAAATTTTCATTAAAACGATAATTTATTGCTTTATTAGAATCTTCAATAAAAGTTTCCTCTATGAGGAAGCAAAAAAAGTTGACCATAAGTCGGATTTTCACTTTGAGCAGCATATAATGCTGTATTTATTTGATAATAAATTTGTCCTTGTATTTTGAAATAATACGGACCTGATCGTTTATTTTGAAAATTAACTAAATTAACATTAAATGACGCAAATGAAAATGAACTATTGTATAACTACGAATATATTTAAAAAATTTATTAGATTTTACATGACTACCATCGAATAAACTACGAAGAAATTGTGGAAGTTGAGGTAAAGGTTTCAAATATACCGCATCATGATTACAACAATCATGAAATGAATCTCCTTTATTAGATATTTTTTCAGCTGCAAAATGTTTTGCATTGCAATGGATACAAAGCACATCCATGGAACCAATATAATATTCTGTTATATCGTTTATAGACATTTTATTATTAATATTTAAACGTGGTTGTTTTCTCTTACGTGATCGATAATAAGACTGATATTCGGCATGTTGGTGGCATACTGCTGTAACATTCAGAGAACGATTGCTATATACGTGTGACTAGTGCAGACTAGAGTTCCTCTAGTCTAGGTAGGTAACCTAAGTAGGTAAATTAACGGGAGACGGTAGGTTTAAAACGGTAGGTTTAAAACAACAGACGGCAGGAAACTGATCTCGTGTACGAAACGTAAGATGCTGCTGGAAGCGAGAAAGTATAATGCCCGTTCTAGATTAGAGGATGATCCTACTCTCGGCTCATCCGAATGAGTGGTGTAGACGGGTAAAAATCTATAGTTTATGTATAGTTTATGTCACGTACACTATAGAAAGGAGGATGAGCCGAGAGTAGGATCATCCTCCAGTCTAGAACGGGCATAAGAAGGAAAGTCACTTTCATCGGTATATTCCGGGGTGACGTTGTATTGCGTTGTATAAGCTGTGCCACGACTGCCACGTTGCAATCAGTCTATTCTGTTACTTACAATAGGAAGGTTCTCATCGCTGAAATGGATTTTCTTTCGCTCGGCGCGATTATTTTCGGTTGCGCAGTGATACTGTTCGCAATGAGAAGATACTTTTCACCTCGAGGGACGAAGTTGCCGAAGTTACCGGAAACCTGGTGGACGCCCGGCACCGAGAGCTCTGCCAACAATGATATCAGACCGTTCAAAGTTACCTTCACCGAAGAGGTATGCAAATTAGACAAGTTTAGATTGTATTATTTGTCGTAAATGCCGCACACTATTTTTATTTGAAATAAAATATACCCAATTTACCTATAGACATTGGAGAGAAAAGTAGATGATAAATACGAATATAAGCGGCTATGAATGATTAACACGATTTGGAAGTCAGATGGAGGAATTCAATTCATTTTATTGATGATTTGAAAACCTAATCGGCTTAGGCTGCTTCCG